GTAGTGGAAGGAGAAGAAATCAGCTCGGAAGCAACAACTACACGAATATGTGAAAACACTGCAGAAGGATGGGGGCAAACAACATGGCCCATAGTTCAACAACCCACCGGCTGGAACAACCAAAGGTTGGGACGTTGTTGACACCACTTGGGTCATCCACAACACAGCTTTGGGGAAAGGAGAATGGGGCAACATCGGCACAAGACCTGCAGAAGCAGAAAAAGAAATACCAGAAGTTGGAGGCACTAGAAGGGAGAGCTGAAGTTAGCCTTAAAGCAGAGCCGGCAAATGTAGGGGAGCGATAGGTGGTGGAATTGACGATGACAAAGGCAAAGATAGTAAAGGAGGCGTCTGCAAGGCAGCCGCAGACAGGGGAGCAGTGGACGGTGAAGCCGACAAGGGAGCAGTCGGCAACACAGAAGTCGGTCGAGGAGCCGACGATAGGGGAGAAGCTGGTCGTGATTGTTGGAGTAGGCTAGATCTCTCTCTGGCATTTATCATAGTGTTACTTTTGTTATTTCGCAATGTTTAGAGCGCGTTCCACTTTTGGTTCAATTTAGGTTCGTTTCTTAGTTTCTAGCACAAACTGAACGCGCCCTAAGTTCAATTAAGATTTCCTACATTTGTATCTCAACTCTCTCTCGTAGTAACTAAATCTCTTGCTACCTTCTCTCACGGCCTATCAACTCAATATTCACATGGTACCTAGAGCCTAATCCTAGGCATTCCCTTCCTAGAATCAACCACTTAATTCGTAGGCCTCCGTAAGGCCTATTCAATGCTACATCGTAGGCAATTACAAGCTCTACTTAGACTAGTTCCAACCCCCCCCTTCCTGCTTATTTTCATAGCGCGCCCTGCAGCAGTTAGTTGCGCGCCCTTCAGCTCTATCGAGAGACCTGCAGGAACCTGTCGCGCGACCTGCAAAAACCAGTCTCGCGACCTGCAGGATCTTCGTGCAATCTGCAGCTTCATCGCGCAACCTGCGGCCACTCGCAGCGAGACCTGCAGCTTCGTCGCACGACCTGCAGGAACTCTTTGCGCGGCCTGCAGACTCGTCGCACATCCTGCAGCTTCGTCCCATGATCTGCTGCAACTCGTCGCGCATACCCTCTTTCCCTCCACCGTGCAACCTGCCCCACCTCCCCTTCCCCCTGCAGCGTGCCTCACCTCGTAGAGCGTGCCCCCTACTGTCGCGCGCCCCATCTACTCTCGTGGTGTGCCCTACCCTTCCTCCTAAAAGCCTCTCCCTACTCCTCTCCCCTCTATAAAGACCCTTCTCCACCTAATCCGCCCCTTCACCCTCCTCCTCCTCTTCTCCCCCCTCCTATTCCTCCCATCATCACCCTTTCCTCGGCCTCTATCCTCTTTGTATCTGCTATAGCTGGTTGATCCTAGCTCTTAGCAGCTCTCTTTTCCACCTTTCTCCTCCTCCTCGTAGCTGACTTTGATGCACCAGGACGGCAAAGGCAGCAAAGACCACGATGATAAAGGGGAGCATTCGGACGCAGAGAAGAGCGACATGGTGGAGGGCCACCTGAGCGGCTGACCTACCACTGGTCGCGTTCACCAATCCAAACGACGACGAAGATGATGACATGCTGTATGACGACGCGGACAAGCCAGAGCATGCACGCTGACCCCGAGCACCGTTGGGACATTATTACGATGACGGTGAAGGAGGTGTTGGTGAGCTAGAAGGGCAAGGCGGTGAAGGCCGCCATGGATGAGGAGATCCGGAGCCTCATTTCCAATAGCACGTGAGAGCTGGTTGAGCGGCCGCGCGGCATCAGCATCATGAGGAACCGGTGGGTGCTGATGACCAATTACTACATCGACGATACAGTCGAGTGGGAGAAGGCGAGGTTGGTCGTGAATGGCTTCACGCATTTGTACGGCGTTGACTACGACAAGATGTATACGTCGTTGAGCAGCTACGTCACGTTGAGGATCTTCCTCAGCATTATCACTGTCCACGACTTCAACGTACAGTAACTCGACATGAAGAACGCCTTCTTGCAGAGCAAGCTCGACCAGGCGTTGTACATATACTAGCTGAACTATCACAATGATGGAACTGGCGGGGTGTGCAAGCTGCTGAAGAGCCTGTACGGGTTGAAGAAATTGCCGCAATTGTGGTACCGGGCGATCGACGCCATGTTGAAGGACGCTAGCTGGAACAAGAGCCAGGTCGACGAGGCACTATGATTTAGGACTGGCGACGACGCATTGACGACCAGCTCGTCACCAGCAGCAGCACCACGGCACTGAAGGAGCTAAAGGAGCTGCTAGAGGTCGCCATCGATCAGTGCGAAATCTTGCCGGTCGTGAAGTAGCTTGGGTTGGAGACCGTGCGCAATAGGTTCTCAAGGAAGCTGTGGCTGCACCAGCAGGGCTACGCCGACAAGCTACGTAGGCGCTTCATCGACGAGGAGCAGGGCGGTCGATCGGATGTCGAAGATGCTGGTCTCTGTCGACGCCCACGCCGAGCTGACGTTCGACGACGAGGAGGCCCAGCGGTGCGAGAAGGAGGACTACTGGCAGAAGGTCGGCTCGATGCAGTTCATAGTGACGACGACGAGGCCGGACATCGCCTTCACCTGCAGCAAGCTGGGGAGCGGCCTCACGGTGAGAAGCGACCAGCACTAGCACGAGGTCGACGGCTACCTCGCCTACCTCGCCAACACCCGTGACACCACCCTGGAGTTCGGCGGTGGACCAGAGTCACTGAAGTTGGTCGTGGACGCCGACGACGTCGGTGACAAGCACAACCGGACGAGCATGGGCAGCTACGTGTTCGTCTTTAGAGGGGCCGCATTCTCCTGGTCGAGCCAACACAACAAGAGTGTGACACTGCCGTCGACTGAGTCGAAGTATGTGATGGCATCCGAGACCAGCAAGGAGGAACACCGACTTTTTTTTTCTTGAAGATTTCCGACTGTTGGACGCCAAGACACCAACGGTCCTTTGTGTGGACAACAAGTCGGCCATCATGGTCGCCTAGGGCTTGGGGCTGCATGGCAACTTCGAAAATAAGGGGCAAGAACTGTGCATGATGGTGATCTAATGCGCACCGTGGCTCTGTTTGCAATTTGCAAGGTGAAGCCAGAGTCGTTTGTGCGCCAGATGCGCGCTCTTCATAACTACCCACTCGAGCTCGTCAGGAAAACAGACCAGACTCTGCTTTTACAAGAGATGCCGACGGAGTGTACGATCGAAGTCAAGAGAGCGCAGTCAGTTCACGTACGGAGTGCGGGCTACAAGAAAAAACATGTTACTGTCATGCTGGCAGTAACGGTGGAAAGGCTCAAACTTAATCCGTACGTCATGTTCAAGTGCAAGACCGTCCCGAAAGTGCCCATCCTTGCGGGTAGGTGAACCATGTTTATGAAGTGAAGGGATGGATGGACAAAGCCCTGGTGCAGGACTTGATCACCCAGATGCTTGTCATTTCTAAAGCCCCTACAAAAACACCGGATGCCACATGGAAGCCTTGGTAGTGCTAAAATCCTACCGAGGCCACTTGACGGAGGTTGTCTGTCAAATGATGCGCATGTTTAGGGTGTCAAGGGCAGTCATCTTAGGGGTTGCACACTGCTTGTGAAGCCTCTGGATGTGTCGGTGAACCGCGCATTTAAGTGTGGTGTGCGTCATCAACCAGGGCCCAAAATTGGTTTAGGCCTACCCTTACAAATCAGGGTTCCAGCCCCTCCTAGAACAGACCCCTAGGGTAGAATTTTCCGTACCCTGATTTCAGCAGGGTAACTCAAGCACTAGGCTGATTTGAGCAGGGTAGTTTTGGGCCAACCCTGTTTTGGTTACAGTTTTGTGAGCTACGGTTTTAATAAAATCAGAAATAAAGTAATACACCCAAACAACTAATGAAGCAACGTGGCGCGTTGCCGACAACGAAGCATTGTTTTGCGCATGGGCACAAGCGACAACCGGTGTTTGTGGGGGTGTGCGCTTTGTCACAAAGCAGACTGTGGTCTGATTCGCGTTAGAAACGTTTCGGTAAAAGAAAACATTATAATTTTTAAACACACATGTAGTGTTTTTTAAAATTGTGTATTGTGAAAGCGAAGCTGCTTGTACTGCACAATTGGCATCGTCGAAGCGCGCTAAACGCCCTTCTCCAACTACAAAAACCGTGGGTTGGAGCTCATTTCCCTCCACCCACGTTTCTCAATTTTCAAACGGCTCACTCAACATTCCCACCACCCACCCCAGAGTAAACCGCCTTGCTAATGCCACTTGGATAGGGTATATCCTAGCTAGCGTTATTAGTCCGCACTAGCTTGTGTCGAATGATGATACAAATGTTGTAATACGCCATTTGTAATGAGAACGATGCCAATTGATAAGAAAGAAAGCAAGCTTTCTCAATATGTTCTTTTAAGAGAAGGGTAACAATTTCGCATTCCTGATTTTGGCTAACTATAACACCAGTCAGGGTAAAAAAAAACATGTTCTTTTAAGAGAAGGGTAACAATTTCGCATTCCTGATTTTGGCAGGGTAATCCTGAAAAAACGGCCGACCCCCAGGGTAATCAGGGCGTTTTACCCTGATATTTTGGGCCCTGTCATCAACCCACCTGGTTCGAAGAAGTCGGATCAACCTGACCATTCGCGCAAGAGAGTTGATTGTGTGCCCCTTCCCTTCTCTCAAGCAACATACAAAAGCCGCCTACAGAGATGGTTCTCTGCTGAGTTGCCAGCGTACACACTCATGATTGTATATGTTCTTTTGTAGCCTGGGTTGAGATAAAGTGGTACAGATGTGACCCGTAGTAAATTCCTTCTCTCGTTCACACATGACCAAACAATACGGTAGCACTCAGTCCTCTTTATTCACAGAGCCTGCTCCCCAACATTACAACATCCATCCAGCATCACTCACTCCATCCCTGCTTTATGGCGTCACTAGACTATCGGGGGCTTGGAGCTGTTTTGACTTGCTACTTAAGTGGATAGCGCCTCTCGCTGCACGGAGACAAGGTTTAGTTGAGGTTGGGCGGCTGGAGGACCATCGTCACGCCATGCGCAGCAATGTTATCCGTCAGCCCAGCATTCGGCACGCTCAGCGGCGACACAAACCTCGTCGGCGGAACCGACTGGAAATACACTTCGTTCGGCTTAAGAGTCTTGTTTACCGGCAGGTTCTGGTTGAAAGTCGGGAAGAGCGTGAGAGGAGCGGCGTCCAGGAGCTGCTGCGTGGTGTAACGGCCCTTGAGAATGTGGTAACGGAGCAACCGGCGCTTCTGCTTGCGGGTGAGGGTGTCCCACTGGGTCTCGTAGCGCCAGTAGCCGACATTGGTGGGGATGAGGATGGTTGCATCCTGATCGATGAACAGCTGCCCGGACTCGACTGGCACAAGGAGGAATCGAGAATAAGGAACGAAGGCATGAGAGCATTTAGATATCAGGTGAGATGGTACCAGTGGGCTAGCTACTCGGATTCGACTGTGGGAGGCAGGATTGTGGTTGCGAGGAGTGGGGTGGAGAACGGGAGTGGAATGAGAGCAATTGCACACTAAGTGAGGCAGAGCCAGCGGTCGACGAACAGCCGCCCCAAATGGATTGAAAATGGTCACAGAGCGGTTGAGAGCAGTTCAGAGAAGCCATGCGAGCAGTTAGACAGCGAGAGGCAGAGCCAGTGATCGTCGCTGGCAGGGGAGAGAAGGGTCAATGACCAGCAGCCCGAAATGGACCCAGGCAGTGGGTGCAGAGCGGTTCAAAAGGGTTGAGAACTCACAGTAGCTGGTGAAGATCTGGCCAAAGGAGGAGAGGAACGTCTGATTCGCCACCTGCTGGATGATCGACGCCATCTGCGCCCCCCAGTTGGGCCGCGCAGAGGGAGTTCGTTTAGAACCCCGCACCATCTGCGAGGTTGTTTGCGGCGCGGTTGTTTCTTTCGACGCAGAACCGGGCCCCTGCGAGGTTGTTTGCGCATCCCAGTCGGGCTCTGCAGGGGCGAGAGTTTCTTTCGACGCAGAACCGGGCCCCTGCGAGGTTGTTTGCGCACCCCAGTCGGGCTGTGCAGGGGCGAGTGTTTCTTTCGATGCAGAACTCCGCACCAGCCGCGACGCCCAGTCGGGTTGCGCCTTGGCCAAGTTCCCCCCGTTTGCGCTCAGCAGGCACGCCACCAGCAGTGCGGCGATACTGCTGCTCGCGACAACCGCATTTCGCACGCGGATGGCCATTTTTCCAAACTCGCACACGCAGTCCTCTCAATATGAGACGCCGGTTCAGCAAGAAAATTCTCTGAGCTCAGCAAGAAAAATCTCACTAAGAGGTTACTTAGTTGCAAGAAGAAGAAGCGGTTACTTAGTTGCAAGAAGAAGCGATTACTTAATCAAGTGACTCGTCGGTGTTGATAAGGTGCTCGTCCTTGCTGAATATATACTAGACAATGGGTCCGGCACGTGAGGCAGCGCGCTGAATTTCGACTGGTTGAGCTCACGCGTCCGCGCGCGCAGGCGCGCAACAAGTCGAGGCATCGTAGCGGCTCGAGATTCGAGGGCGTATGGGAGCATTTTGAGAAGAGGTGTTGGCGAGAACAGGGGAAAACAGTTGCTGAGCTTTCGCGGAGCTGCGGCGCAACGAGGGGCGAGTTTCCGCGCAGAGAGGAGCGGCGCAAGCGCAACGAGCGGAGACGGCTCTAGTTTACAGCCGACGGTTACTGAGCGAGATTCGGCAGCAAGTGACGGTATGCGTGATTTGTATATACTAGTGTCAATAGGGCGACAGTTGCGTGAGTTGACCTGGCTTTCTCTGCAATGATTCTTGGTATTACTACTCGACACCCTGCAGCGAGACCTGAGCGTCGCCGCGATGACGCCGCCGAGATCCCGCGGCATCGGGGGGCGCGGCAGCGGAGAGGCTGTTGCACTCGCGCGCTGGGGGTTCCAGTCGTCGCCGCTCGTTAGCATGATAGCTAGCGGATAGACACCTCATACCTGCTGTGTATACTCGCACCATGCTGGGCCTACGAAGTTAGGGTTGACAAACAGACAGGGAGAGTAGGTTGGCTGCGATCGGAGTGGAAGGGGTCGGGGCGAACGTGAGGCGCATTGTGGTAAGGGCGCAGCCTAAACAAGCACAACACATATAATGTTTGACAGTGAGAACCGCCTACTGACGAAAGCGTCTAAGTGTGAGTTTCTACAGGACAGACTGGAGTTTTTGGGACACATTATTTCAGCCGATGGAGTGGAAATAGACCCGAAGAAGATCGCGACGATTCAGGCTTGGCACGCGCCAACGAATCTGACTGAGCTGCAGAGTTTTTTGGGGTTCGTCAACTACGTGCGCCGGTTCGTCCCCGACATGGCGAAGCTGACCGCCCCGCTGACCGACTTTCTAAGGAAGGGGGTTGAGTACACGTGGGGGGAGAAAGAGCAAGCTGCCTTCTCGGCCCTCAAGAAAATTTTGTGCTCGCCGCCCGTGCTTCACATCGCAGATCCGCACCGACCGTTCGAGCTCGTCACCGACGCAAGTGACATCGCTGTGGGAGCATAACTGTTGCAAGATTTCGGGAATGGCCTTCAGCCAATCGCGTACGAGTCCCGCAAGCTGCACCCGCCCGAGCGCAACTACCCGATACACGACCGCGAAATGCTCGCGATCGTGCACGCGTTCAAGATTTGGCGGTGTTACATGACTGGCGCCGACGTGACAGTACGGATAGATCACCGATCACTACAGTACCTGCGCGCCAAACCGAATCTCAATCCGCGACAAATCTGCTGGTTGGACTACCTCGAGTCCAACTTCCACTACACGGTTACGTACAAAAAAGGTGCATCCAACATCGCCGACGCACTCACCCGCCCTACCGCCCAACTCCACGCCATCCTACTCGCCCAAACCAACCTGCGTTTAACAGGCCTATTCTCCCACGGATACCGCACCGACCCATTTTTCACGACCGGAAATTCACAGCAACTCACAAAAGCTAAGGGAATTTATTACATAAAAACAGGCACCAACCGCATTTGGGTACCCGCGTACTCACTACTGAGGGTGTGAGGATCGAGGATCGAGTTCAGAAATGAGAATGTAAATTGAATGATCACCTGGGTACAACACGAGGCTATATATAGGCTCGACACAAGGGGCAGTAACCAGGTGTTACGCGAAGGTTCTGCGGGTCGCGAAGCGTCCCAAACAGACCCTTCCCGAATTCGGTAGAAAGCATTTCGGTGGCAACCGAATAGCTCCGAATTCGGTGTAACCTAGCACGGTGCTTATAACTATAATAAAATATAGGAAAGCACCTAGCCTAGGAATCAAGCAATTCATGCATGCATAAATAAAACCAAAGCTAGAAATAGCGTAAGCGAATAAAAGCAAGCATGAATAACAAGCATAAGCCGTCGTACTCTCACACGTCCCCCCCTCAAAGCTGGGTGGCATGAGATACACCCTGCTTGACAAGATAGTCCTTGAGAGCACGGCATGCGTTGCCCATATCAGCTTCTGCAACCCAACTGTCCTCAGTGGGGTCGTATCCCTTCCAGCGTATCAGGAACTCGAGGGTCTTGCCGCCGCGGCGCCGATGAGTGAGAACGCGCTCGATCTCGTACTCGGGTTCATCCTGTACCAGAACAGGTGGTGGTGGCGGTAGCTGCCGTCCTTGGAACTGTTGGTTGGGGTCCTTGTAGGGCTTCAGTAGCTGAACATGGAAAGCGTTGTGAAGCTTCCACGTATCTGGTAAGCGCAAGCGGAATGTAACTGGTGTCACCTGTGCCTCCACGAGAAAAGGACCACAGAAGCGAGGCCGGAGTTTGGATGGTAGGTGAGATCACAGAAGTTCTGCATCGTGGTGAGACGTCGCTGAGTCTTCTCCCATAGCTGCTGCATGGTGGTGACGAAGTCGTGTGCGGCTTGGACATGTGCCGGTGTGGTTGGCTGCTTGCGAGTGGTTCCCGTCCATAGCACAGGAAGAAAGGAGTTCTTCCTGTGGCCGCATGCGAGGCGTTGTTGTAGGCGAACTCTAAGGTCGGTAACTGTGTGTCCCAGTGGCTGATGTCATCTTTGCAAGCTGTGCGCAGTAACTGTTCAACCACCTGATTGAGTCGCTCCGTCTGTCCGTCAGTCTGGGGATGGTATGCTGAAGACATCGCAAGCTTAGTCCCCAACAGTCCCATAAGCTCCTTCCAGAACTTACTTGTTGTGAGAGTACGACGGCTTTGCTATGATTTACTAGCTTGATTATGCTTTATTTGCATTATCTAGCTTAGCATTGCTTTATTTTGCTTGCTTTTGCTAGAATTCCTAGGTTCGTTGCTCTTACTATATTGAGTATAGTTATAGGCACCGAACTAGGTTGAGTGCACCGAATTCTAGGCTTTTCGGTTGCCACCGAATTGCCTTCTACCGAATTCAGGAAGGACCCGTTCGGGACGCTTCGCGACCCACGGAACCTTCTAGTAACACCAGGGTTACTGCCTTTGTGTTGAGCCTATATATAGCCTCGCCTTGTACCCAGGTGCATCATTCAATAGTTCAATCTTTCCTGAACCAGATCCTCACACTTGGTATCAGAGCGGGTTTACACGCGAGGTCTTCAACCGTTTAGTTCCGGCCTTAAAAAATCGAAGGGGCGACGACGAAAGCGCCGATACGGGTATGTAAAACCAGTTCCGCGCAATTTTTCTAAGTCCCCCTCGATTCGGTTTCGAACACTCCTCAAGATTATTTGCAGAAAGGTTGGAATTTCGACCGTCAGATCGATTTCAATCTCAACAGCCCAGAGAATTTCGCCCAAAAATGTTGGAATTTCGACCGTCAGATCGAGTTTTTCTTCAACGGCCGAGATCGGACGCGAATTTCGACTAGGGGAGATTATTGCGACCTACCGAATTTGTGCTCGTCGATTCTACAGTCGATTCGACTCGCAGTAAGTCGACCAGCACCCATAATTCAATTATTTTCGTCGCGCTTCTTTCTGTAAATCGCCAGATAGAGGGAAATAGAGTTTTCTTTATACGAAAATTCGCGGAGTTACGTGCTGAGCATAAGCAGATATTTGCGGTGCTTCCAAGACTCAAAAAACTCCTTGCGAACCAATCGGTAGCCGTAGAAGCAGCAGAAGCGATGACAGCGACACCGATGATTGTACCTGCGACAACGGCAGCAGCTACATTTAATCTCGAAGCAGTAAAGCCGAGGCGACCAGACGCGTTCGATCCTAGAGCGAAAGGGAGCGACGTCCGTCGATTTGTAGCTGTACTAGAAAATTTCTTCGAAGCCGTTGGATGCACGACCCTCAACCAAGACGCATTGCGCATACGGCTCGCAGCAACACTGTTACGAGGCCCGGCTCTAGAGTGGATTAGCAATAGATTTGTCCAAGGCGAAGAGACGTGGGCGCAGTTTTGGGCAGCACTGATCGAACAGTTCGACGCGTTGAACAGTAGCTACTACGGAACACGACGCAATAAGCGAAATAGTGGCATGGAGCGATTGGCATCACACACGAATGCCGACCCGATGGAGAACGACAAGGACGATGCGACGCAGTGGCTAGCAAAAAATGCGACGTGCGAATTTTGCGGCGCTACAGGACATCGTATCTTGGCGTGTTGGAAAATGAAGAAAAGCCGTGTGGAGCTGAAGGGAAAAAACAGTGCGTCACCCCCGAAGCAGAAAACGGACAACGTGGCAACTTCGGAGAGGGCGAAAAAAGGAGAATACGGTGGCGCGAATTTAAAACGTCACGACCAGCCGGCACCAGGGGAAATCGCCGAGACAAATGGAGACTCCGCGAAACAAGACCCTGCACCGACCGGGAAACTCCAGCCGTACACCTCGACAAGTAAGAATTCGTTAAAGTTATCCTATAAAGATACTTTTGTTAAACTGTATTGTGCTTGTAGTAGTGGGGTAGCCAATATGGGGTACAACCCCAACTAGGGTTTCATATTTGTACCCAAACTTCTGTTAGTTCAATCATTCTTGCCTAGTGATTCTGATATGGTATTCAGAGCAGGAGGTCCCTAGGACCTACCGATCGTTTTTAGGGCTTACCACCGCTCGCATGCGGTTACCACGCTACCCCGTTCCCTAGCCTCGTAGCGCCCTCGTGCGCCCTCGTTAGCGCCCTCGCGCGCACCCTCGTTAGCGCCCTCGCGCGCACCCACGTCAGCGCCCTCGCGCGCCCCTTCGTTAGCGCCCTCGCGCGCCCCTTTGCTAGCGC